GGGGGTCCCAAAACCGAAATTCAATCTATAATATATTCTTGGTTATTACAAAAGAAACAATATTTTCGAAATTCAATCCGGGGCATGGCGAATTTTAGTTGTACAATCAAGTTCATTAAATTGTACTCCTAATTAATCTTTAAAATCCTTTAATTAATATTTTAAATCTTAATCATACTTATTATAAAACCCAAGTTGTGTGTGTGTGTGTGTGTGTGTCTGTACGTTTATATATTGGATCGGATTTCCTACATTTTTCAACTGATTTCAACAAAACTTCACAGGACTGCGTAAAATTACCTTGCGGTGGTTCTGACAGCGCCAAAAATTGTAAAAACACAATTGTTTTTGCACGAAATCAATTTGAAAACACGATTAAGAGGCATCGCAAGAATGAAAGGGGGACAACACATACTTATTATAAAACCCAGGTTGTTTGTGTGTGTGTGTTCGGTTATATATGGGATCGGATTTCCTACATTTTTCAACCGATTTCAACAAAACTTCACTTTTTTTTTGGCTGGTAGTGTTTCTTATTGTCTTGCACAGTTTTTTCTTTATTTTTACATTCAGAATGCTTTAAAAATTCCATTTACAAGACAATTGTTTATAATAAAATTCTATTCAATCGGTATAACGATTGAAAACAATGTTTTTGTTTGAGTTTGACCAATTCGTTAAAAATAAAAAAAATAATTAAGACATGCGTGTCCGTCAACCTTAAACAATAATCTTTGTCAATTTTATTTTTCAGTCTTTATGATGGTCGATACTTGATTTTTCTCTTACTGTTACATCCCCGGGCAACGCCGGGCTCTACTGCTAGTGATTAATATAATATGACTATTACTGAAATGTTAATCCATATTAATCCGTATTAATCCATATGTATCTTGTATTCCTTACTAGTGTGATCAAATGAATCAATGTTATTTTTCTTTTCAGTTTTTGTGGCACATAATCCAGATAAAGGTAAAAACACTTTACGGATTCAATTCAAGTCTCCACGAGGCAGTTTCAGAATTCTTGGCGACTTTAGTAAGAAAAAATCAGTGATGAGTGCTCGTATTATTTGTAGTTACACGTTTGGTCGGAAATTTTCTGATCAATTGACTTTCTCCAGCAAACTTCGCGATCTCAGCCAAATGAATTCGGCTCGCTACTTGGGAATTGTGTAAGTATTATTGTTATAATGTATTGCTGTTATAACGCTCGTATAAGCTCGTAGTTTCTGGTTAATAATATTGTAAGGAAAACAAGAGATTAGTGAAGAAAAGGTTTGATCCCATGGGAGACATGAATTAATAAGACGATAATAGAGAATACCGTAGTTCAATGTGGCAACGTGTACGATTCAAAGCTATCACCCACATTGCTATCCCTGTTCCTATGAGCAGACGTCCTACTCATTTGAAATGGACGAGTGTATATTCAACAGTTTGGGTAGAGAAGGTCGGTCGTTTTTCTGCAAAATAGTTACATAGAATTCTTTCATTATTCCACGCATACTCTGATACTGTTTTTGTTCTTCTCCCGGGTTCTCCTTTCTCTTCGTTTTTTGCGCCGTGCCACTTCAGGACGTGTACGATTATTTCTCTTCACATCTTCCTATCCTAGTGATTGTTTTTTCTCGTCCTTCCAACTCTCAGTTCGGACATCTATTTACACAAGATTTCCCTCTGCCCATCTTGCCTTCAATATGCCCTTTGAGTATCAAATTCTCCAAGCCCTCTTTCCTCATTGGGTATCTCAGAAATTTTAAATGATTCGAATAACACGTGTCCTTTTTTTTTCACATTTTTCCTAAAAAAGAAATGAAATTTTCCTTTGCATATTTCGTTTTTTATGCAGATCTTTTTATTAATAAATTCTACTGGAAACATTGCAATATTCACTTCTCCAGTTCCAGTAATCTTGCAAACTCGATACTGCTAATCTTAAATGTTTTTGGTACGATTCATCTATGGCATCAATTTGTCCATCTCTATGTAGTGGAATATTCTAGTGACGTAGAAAAGTGTCACACACAATAAACATGATATTTAGAGAGTAAACGTGTCTGGGTTGACATATTTTAATTTCAACAGTGAAATTGATACTTAAAATGGTTAATCAATATTTCCATCTGAATCTCTTGCCTTCAGTATGTCCTGTGAGTATCAAATTCTCCAAGCCGTCTTTCCTATCCGAGAAATTTCACTTATCTTTTTTCTGATTCTATTTTCCTTAAAACTTTCTCGTTACTCACATGTTCAATCCAAGATATTCTCAGCATCCTTCTGTAGAACCACCTCTCGGTTACTTCGTCTTTTCTTCATCTGTGAGGAGTATTCACTGGCATATAAGAGGATCGATATTGCATAGCAGTTTCTTTGTTGCTAATGAAATTTTCCTGTTCCTTAATACTTATCTTGGCTTTTGAAAGGCATCTTCTGCTATTTCAATGCGCTTTCAGATTCCAATGTGACATAAAAACTAAGAAATCCATGTTTCCTTTTGGACGAATGAAAAATATTTTTCACTTTCTCTCTTTATCTCCATTTCGTTCTTTTTGTGTAATTGCAAAATAATTATTTGACTCTTTCCATCGTTGGGGTGTGCGGGTGGTGTAATGGATAGCGTTTCAGAATGAAAAATCGGAGAGCCGAGTTCGAATTCCGGTCGGCTTCGTTGCATTCACCTTCGCACAAATACCGTTGAGAAAGCTATGAATTCATCTTGTCCTCCCTGCTATGGGTTAAATAGAAGGACTTGTATCTGGAAAAATCATTTTTCAAAAAACTGTTCCAATCGCAAAAAAAATGCTATTCTTACAACTGACAATATGTTTCGGCGATAAGAAAAGGGGGCTGATGAGCCGTAAAACAAATTCTCTCAATCAACTTTACATCGTCTGATTCTTAAAATTCATGAAACGAATTCATTGTCTTTGTTTAGCAAATAAATTATTCCAAACGTTACAACTCGTTAATTCAAAGTTCTTGTCATTTTACAGAATTAAATAAAAACGAATAAATATCGTTTTACCGAAAAAACTCACCACACAAGTGTTTCAGTATCAAACTATGGCCTTGAAATTGAAGTTAAAATTCGTAAATAATTAGTTGTCAGTGAAATCTGTCTACCCTAAAACTTTTCGCCATTTCAATTTCCCTGGGAAAAATATCAGTTCATTTTCTCCCTGAAATATGGATTAATTAAGAATACTTGAATCTAGAAAAATCATTGGTATTCTCAAAAACTCCTGAATGCAAAATTCAAAAATGATTATTTTTACAATCCAAAATATGTTTCGGCTTAAAAAAAAAACTCACAAGGGGTTGATAAATCGTAAAAAAAAAAAAACAAATCAATCACATAAAAAAATCAGTTAAGTAGATTTTGGTTATTTGAAAATTAAATGCAAATCTCAAACACTCAGTCCCATAACACGTCCGTTGAACTTCAATAATCATGTTCTAATACAAGAAGTAAACGTTGCGAATCAATACGGAAAAGGGGAGATAACTATGCGTGACTGACTGGAAACATTTCCGTCTTTTCTCGTCATCTCTTAACGCGGCTTGTCGCCCGATAGCAGCGAAATGAATCACGTAGTAATGTTAACGTCGTAAAGATTAATAAGGATACAAAACTAAATCTCTCATACGTAAATGCATTGCTTATTCAACTCCAAGCTTCGTCAGTTAATAACACGGAGGGGGTGTGTGGCTTTAGGGATTTTCTCTGAACGTGGATCTTTTTAGAAAATCGCTATCATTTACATTTCGGTGGAACTTTTATATAACTTCGTATCACCCGGTTGCCCGACGTACACAACTAGGTTAGGGTTAGGGACGAGGTTAGGGTTAGGGTTACATATCGAAAGTAACTACCAGTTTGTGACAGGAATTTCAAATAATGGCCATGGAGTCACATTTCAGATCAACCCGCTGAAGACTCTGGGCTAACACTGAGTGCAAAGTCTCGTTTAGTATCATCTGCGTTGAGCTCAGTATATACTACAGCCATCACTGATCAGCTTCTATTAGAATAAAGGTTCCTTTTTGACATTACGTTATCTTCAAACTAGCAGATTTTTCTTGGCATGAATCTCATACTAGAGAATTGTTCTTTGACAACTGCAGGAAAGATAGATGCAGAATATTCCATGACATGTGCTAAGTTTAGATAAATATAGTTTTAGGCTAACGCGGAAAAATTGGAATGGATCGTAGAAAGATTGTTGCGGCAATCATTCAATAATTATCCAAATTAATAACCTACATTCAACTCACACACACGGTGACAGCCACACCCCGATCAACGGCATCGACCGGCCGGCTAAACTGTATGAGGGTAGTCGGAAAGTTTTCCCGACTCGACCGGTGAAACGGGACGCCTCTCTTCAACCTGTGTCAAGCGGACGTCGGCCAGTCGCCAGCCTGATCGTAGGAGCTGTGCCTCAGAGGACAACGGCTTTACCAGTGGGTAGAGGAACTTCTGAGAGGTGGGACGGAATAACCTCAACATTCCTGGTGCAAAAAAATCTTGAATGTCACCCTGAATGACATCAAACAGAAATAGAGGGAAGTGGTGATTACAGTGGCGCAAAGGACGCTTACAGGATAAAATGACTGAATGAATAGCCGATTATTTGATGATGTTTCAGGCTGATATATATGAAATAGCGGTCTACACTCTTTGCAAGAAAAATGATTCTAATGAACTATCTTTATTATTTCAGTGAATTGTCTAGCAAGAAAAAGGAATTCATGAACTTCAAACTCAATGGTCATCTGGCCAAAGCTGCTAATCACGTGGAAACGAAATTTGATCTTCAATACGGCAGTCCCAAAAACAAAGCGAGCAACATCCTTAAGTTTTCAGCAGTGGTTAACCGGTCTTTGAAGCCTTTTGTACACGCCTACAGTTATTCAATGTCCATTCAACATCCGGGTCAGGTACCATTCCGAATTTTGCCTTTTTTCCCGCTCATTTCTCAGTCAAACTACCATTAACAATTAATTACCTAAGATTGATATTTCTTTACCTGAAAATATCATCATATCTTAAAAAGTCGTCTTAGGTTGTTTTCTCCACGTTAGAAAAATCAAAATCGTATATATATATATATATATATATATATATATATATATAGAGAGAGAGAGAGAGAGAGAGAGAGAGAGAGATAAAAACCTAGTGAGTCATAACTTTTCTACCAAGATTTGAACTAACGGATCTTCAGGGTATTACTGGCCAATATACCCTGAAGTTCCGTTAGGTCAAACCTTGGTCGGTAGGTCCTGGCTCACTAGGTTTTTTTAGATTTTCCCCTACTGTATTGAGTACTTTATTCTGTCCGTGTTTTTTCTTTTGACTAGGTATTGCGGTGCTGATACATTATATATATATATATATATATATATATATATATATATATATATATATATATATATATATATATATATATATAAAGAGAGAGCGAGAGAGAGGAGAATGACAAAAGAGAGAGAATTAATATAAGTAAAAGGTTTGTCACTTAGTTGGTTGATTTTACCTTCAGCATCCCAACTCCAGAATTTCGTAGATGAACTGTCAAGGAATTACACCGTCCACTCGTCAGAAGATATCAGCAATTGACTGCTTATAGTTCTCGATTTTTCTTTTTTATACCTCCATTTTATGTGTTGTGTGTGTGTGTGTGTATGCGTATGTATTATTCCTCAGATGCTGAGTATAGACTGTAACAGCCAGTGTAATTGTATTGTTGTAAGCTATAAAAACCCAACGTATATTAAATAAGTTTGAACTTCCCTGCAGGTGATTGACAGACATGTAAAGAAGGCCAGAGAGCACTACAGCCGTAACGTTTTGATAATGACAATAAGAAGAGGATATTATATACAAACAATGTTAATAAAACATGCAAAGGAAACAAAATATTTCTCAAATGAAACAAATATTTCTAATTTATTGAGTAAAAACATTGTAAATACAGACAATAAAGATAGAGATATTATTTTTTTTAACCCTTTATTACATTTATCAGGTTATTTGAACTCAAATCGAGTCCACAGAACTTAATAAAATTTAGCCCTTACCATTTCTTTGCGGTTTTCAATCGAAATATCGTATAATTCCACTTTCTCCCCCCCGCCACAAATAATATCTCTATCTTTGTTGTTTGTGGTTACAAAGTTTTTACCCAATAAATTCTTCGTTTTTTGTTTTGTTTTTTAATTCAGGCTTATGACAGTATAAACTGTCCTGATGATAATAATGACCGCTATTTATTTTAAAGATTGGAATTAATATCTACCGGTCTAAAGATTGTAAGACCCATTAGAGAAAATACGTTTCCAGACAGGGATTGAACCTCTCTTTTTTATTTCATCTGAAAACCGACCTTCAAGCTTATGTATACATTATCATGAAGCCACTTAAAGCAATTAAAAGAAAGTAAGGCTCACTTTACCCGATTAAGTAATGAACATCTCTCATTGAGACCTTTCAAAAACTATATCTGCTAAATGTATTTATATTTTATATGTATATCTATGTAACACCGACTCTCAAGAACATTAAGGTAACCGTTACTAAATGGCATAGTCGGGTTCTTATTCTTAAGAATATGAATTTGAGACTAGTTCCAAATTTCTTCTTAATTCCTTAAATCTGGTAAAATAACCAATAATGCGTCGTGACAAGAAAACAATAAACGTAAAAGATGAAGAAACTTGCAAAAATACAAAGTAAAATATATTAACAAGTCAATTTCTTTCTACCTTTTCAGAACTTAAATTACAAAATGGAGGCTAGTCATGTGCAGTCTTCAAAATGGCCTTTCAAGAAATTTGAGAACAAAGTGATGATCCAAATGGCTCTTGGAAAAGTTGTCCAAACAAAGTTATCTTATATTAACTCCAAGATAAAAAGCTTACCAACTTATGAAAGTGAAATGGCCATTTCTTACCCAGGCCGAGATATGAAAATAACGAACAAATTGATGCAAGTGAATAAGAATATGTATGAAAATAATTTCTCCGTACAATGGCAAAAGGGACAAGAGGCAATGGTAAAAAGTATGTACACTAGAACTGGCAAAGATATACATGATATTGAGAATACTTTAATATTGCCCAATAAAAAAGAAGTTAAAGCAACTGCAATGCTGCAAGGAACATCTGGAGCCTACAGAGCTAAAGTTTACTTTGAGGCGGAGGGAAACAGTATTTATAAAGAGCAGATGTTATATGCCGCTGAGGCAAGGCTGTCAAAGAAACACAACGGCAAACAAACATCAAGCGACGTCAGCATAGATATCACATGGTCACCAACAAAAAGATTTTCTGCAAATATGAGTTCTATACAAGAAAACACTTCTTTAACCCACAAGCTGACATTTTCCACGCCATTTTCCCGCTTGAAGTCTTTTGAATTCGAAACCAAAAATGCCTGGAATAACAAAAAATATTCATCCTTGACGAAAATATATTGGAACAAAAAGAACGAATTTCGGAAATATTTTTCTATTTCTTACCCAGGAGAAGAATTAGACCTCGATTACCAAACTTCACTTGATATGAACGGGAAAGAATCTTTTGTAAAACTTAAAGCAGAAAAAGTCGGTACAAAAGTGACTGGATCAGTTAAATTAAACGTGAATAATTCTCCTAAGTTTAATATGCTAGTGTCACACTTAAAAGAGAAAAAACAACGTAAGATCGATGGAAATTTGAATTTTGACATTTTTGGCACAAGCGCTGGTTTCAAAATCACTCACACTACTTATCTTCCGAAAGGCGAAATCATTTCAATCGGTGAAGGAAATATCAAGTTACCCTTCCAAAAATTGAAAGAATTCAACACCTCTTATAGCTTGGAACATAACAGGCAAGTATCTTCTCTAGATATCGATTATTCGAGTTCTTTAATGAATTTCAGAAATGGAAAGCTAGTAATTGAAGCAAGAAGAAACTTAACAAAAATATTAAAATATAAAATACAACTGACAAGAATGAAGAAAGAATTATTCAATTTCGAGGCGAAAATCGAACGGAATGGAGACTACTTTGACATTGACGTCGATATTACAAACTTGCATGGAGAGAAATTCATGACTTCTGCTTACGTCAGCCTGCTTGGCCGCAAAAAAAATTCGAGCCTTGAAATTAAAGGCAAACACATCAATGTTTCGGTCAAGGGTGATTTTGACTTTCACAATCGTCGCCTTGTTAATGGCGAAGTGAACATCAATGCTAAATCTCAGAATTTAAAGATGTCTATTAATTATAAAAAAGATGAGGCAAATCATGAACTGAGCGGAAGTTTGGAACTGCCCGACGGAAGATCGATTGATGGTAAAATCGGTTTGATATTAAAAGATGCCATTTCTCTTTCCTTGTTGATGAACAGTCCGGATTTCCCTTCCCTGACAAATATTGATATTAACATTTCATATAATGGAGATTCTCTATCAAGTGTCACAAAAGGCTATATAAAGATTTTGCCATATTTAAAAGAAAGCGAATTTGAAGCAAGTATCAACATGGCGGATAATGTCAATTTGGCTTTTGTATTAAAGACCCCATTTGGTAACATGAGAAACGTAAAAGCGACACTATCTTTGCAAAATAAACTGGCGAACGCCATGAAAATCAAATCAGAATTTGAATTAAATAAAAACAAGGTGATTGATTTGGTATTTAGTTACAAAGTCGAAAGTATCGAAGATTTTTCCGTTTCCTTCGATCTGAAGACGTCCCATAGAAGACTTAATGTTGTTTCTCTGCTTCTTAAACATTCGGGAGATTTCTACAATATGGAGTCTATTTTGAAAGCCGAAGTTGGCAGAGATGTAAAAATCAATGGTAAATTAAGTAATTTCCCATCATACAACGAAATCTTATTAAAAGCAGAATTTAAAGACTTCGAAGATTTTGAAGCATCTCTCACTCGATACGGTTATTTAAATGATATGCAAGCAACAGTGTTTTATAAGTTGGACGGAAGGGAACAATTCAGGTCGAAGCTTTTCATTAAAAGATATGGCGCTGTAATCAATGCAATGACGAAAATTCCAGACATTTTAGATTTTGAATTTGAATCGGAATTGGATATTGAAAATATTTCCTTCAATCTTCGATCAAATTTGGAATTGCGGCAAGAAGAAATCTATAAAATCGTCGTAACCTACGAACACTTGGCCAAACTGTATATCGACATTTCATTTCCTTCCTATAATGATGAACTAACGATGACACTGAATGGTGATCTGAAAATGTTCAATGCTCTGGCCAAGTTGAAACATAATACAAGCAAATACGAATTGACCATCTCGAACCAAGGTTATTACCGAAAAATCAATGCTCATCTTGTCACCCCGTTCTTTACAGAAATGGCTTCGTTTATTTTTAATGGTGATGAAGAGACATTCAATGCACAGGCCAAATTTATGCATGATAATGATCAATACGAAATGGTTGTTTCTAACCGTAAACATTACCGGCAAATAAACATCGCTTTGTCCACTTCTTTCTCAACTGATAAATTGGACATTGACTTTGATGGTGATTTATCTTCCTTCAAGTGTTTTGTTACGTTCAGTCACAATAAGGTCGAGTATAAACTGCAAGTTTCCAATGATAACTATTACAGAAAAATTAACGCCGAACTGACATTTCCGGTCTTCCATATTAAAGGATCATTTAGCCTAGAAGGAGACCTTGAGTCTTTCAACATGATAACAGAGATGATTTATAATGAGGAGACTTTTAAATTAGACATTTCAAACAAAGACTACTACAAAGAGATGACTATAAAATTAATAACTCCCTTCACAAAAGACTCGCTTTCCTTTTCGCTTGATGGTAGTCTCAGCAGCTTCAACGCCAAACTAAAATATATGCACTTTAAAAGCCTCTACGAACTAGTTGTTTACAATAGCGGATTATACAGAGAAATAGAAGTGAAATTGTCAACTCCTTACTTTAGAGATATGCTCTCGATTAGCGTTGAT